AAGGATGTTACATTCAAGTTATTTTAAGACATGAAGACATTTTTTTTCAAGGAAAAAACTTTTAAATATGTCCTTTTGGTGATCAGAGATGAGTTTTAAGTGATACAATTAATGACTACAGGGGGACTTTAAATTATCAGTGTTTTAAAGGTTAAAGCTGCAGTCCGTAGCTTTTTTGGGTTCAAAATTATCCAAAATACATATTTGAGAAAATACATAACCAGCCAGTGTTCAAAACTCTCTGCTTGCCTTAGCTCGATTCAAAGCGGTAAGCTTGTAATAATGTTTTTAATTCCAGTGGTACTGGTGGATTTCCACGGGAGATTCGAGCATGTCTTTGTGTCATTACATCACATCTGTACACATAAAGAAGGAGTCTCGGTGAGGATGTTGGAGGTGGAGATTTATAGCCTTTTCTCACAGCACTTGATATAATTAAACTTATCAATTTGATGGCGGATCCAGAAAGGTTCAAACGACAATCACCAGTGACAACAGATTCACCCGCTGTAAAATGCAAAATACTTCGTTCAGACTTCGGAGTGGCTACAGAAAAAAAGAGACTGCAACCGGCCCATGCGAAAACAAGGATACATATCGGAAGGACATTAAATATAGTCACGCAATGCTGACGTTGTTAACATTAACAATTTGAGAACAAATTATAATTTGCACGGTTTTACGTTATATGATAAGCGATTTTTAGATTTAATCAGCGCGATTTACTGCAATGTCAGAACCAGAACAAAAGTGGATGTTACTTACTTGTTCAGATGACATTTTCCGGTGAAAATTATTATGTTGGTCATACTTCCAAAAAGAATAATCTGTGATTCTGAATGCCAGTATCCACACCGGCGCGGTGACTGACAGCCGCACAGTCTCCTCAAACATTGTGTTCATCCGCGCTGTGTCGTGTCGAAGTACAACTCACGTAAAGTTGATAATTCCGCGAATGACTGCAATTGACCGTTCGCAAAAGCCACGCCCCTTAGTTATTGTTGCTACGCCCGTCAAACAAATGGTCAAACACGACCAGTGCCACAGATTGCCATGACGGGAAGAGGTGTGTCAGTGAGCTTTTTTGGAGCAATACCTTCGCGATATCCTCCAGATCGAGGCAAAAGGGGTTACAGTATGCAGTGGAGGGATATATTCAAAATATAAAAATACGCAATGAATCAAGGAGACACGACTACTATCGAGCCTAATAATGCTCTCAAACCGGTCTCAAGCGAAATCTGAGAAACCCCATGACCTGTAACGTTACCTCAAATGCAACCAGCACAGCCTTGAAGAAGGTTTTATAAGCTGTTTCAGTGGCTAATTGTTTGGAGTTAGAAATATATAACTCGCGCTGCAAATTTAGTAATTTTGCCTCAGATACAGGATTATTCATTCGCTTTAAGCAGGTTGTTCATTACCACGGCAACCGCTTGCGTGTCATGCTGAATGCGATTTTCGTGTTTAAAAAGTAACTATACATAATAGACGGAAAGATGCAGATAACCAATCATTATTTCTATTCGTTACGATATTGATATGAACTGATGTTGTCAAGTAAGCTTCATGCGTTCCCCGTTGCGAACGTGCACTCCTCTAGCGTTAGTCTAAACTGTAGTCTACACAGGTGCTGCCTGCACTGCTAGTGACTGCTGCTCATTTCCCCCCGAAAATATAATGTTAACAACAACACTTTAGAAAACGTACTTCCTTTGTGGATCGTCTTGATCTGGTTTCTCCATGTGTCTTTGACTAATCTCATTGTCTCAGTCTCACGCACGCTGCACGCGAGTTAACCATGTTCGACACATTTAACTGGGAGTGGGGCCGTCCACACTGTTTTTATCCATTGTAAGGACCGCGCACGTTGTGTTTTCGGCTTTTGAAACGGAAAGAACACAACTCCTCCAGACAATCTCTCGGGGTACCTAGTGTCCGATTTACAAACGCCGTGGGCGCACCGCTTCACCATCTTGCTTGGAGTCAATGTTTGACGGACCTGCTCACATAGAAACGGTTGCTATGATGTGTGATTGGACAATAGCCGTTTTGGGGGAGGGGCCTGCGAACGGTCAATTGCAGATTTCGAACAGAGATGGCGACAAAGAGGAAAAACTGCAGACTGCAGCTTTAACTTTTAAGTATATTGAAATGTAAAATAGTGGAACTAAGCAAGCACAAATCAGTATCCAAAATACTATCAATCTTAGAAATGTAAGTTGACAACCTGTTTCTTTTGCAACTTGCTATAATAGCGGTTTATGCCTCATACTGGTGCGTAATCCTCCGCCGTCATTCTTCTCTACTGCTTTGCTGTGCATCACTTTTCCTGCCTCTGTTTCCATGAGAACCGAGGACAAGGACAAAGCGGGATTTTTTTCCTATCACAAATCTGAGATAACCCCAAGTGGTCCATATGCGTGTCCCACTTCAAACCAGCTGGGGGCAATCAATTCTGACATCAAAACTTAAAATGACACGCGATTAGAGACTAAATGTTTAATGCTGCTTCTTAGTGACTTAGAACTGTGACTTTCAACATCACCAAAAATCTTTGGTGTTCAGACACCGTTTTCTCAAATGTTCATAACTCATTTTTAAAAAGACTGATCAGCATTCATTGTGAGTGATGATGATGACGTATCTAGCCTAGAAACTCCAACATCAGCAATAGCAAACTCACTTGAATGCTCCCACCAAAGATCCATCATTTACCCTGCAAGTGGTTCTCTTGGGCCTCATGCAGCACCCGAACGCCTCCATTGCGACGTCTGTGAGAATGCGCAGACAAAACATCCATATTTCAAATTCATGTCCACATAATATTTTTTTACCAATAATGATTGCACTGATCATTTGAATGCTAATAAAAGCAGTATAATGGCAATGGTTTATATTGAAAGTTTTTACTATAGCAAATTGATTAGGCTACTTAATTTGAGATTTTTTTTGACACATCAATTCATGGCATCTTCTTAAAGCAACTTAATTGGGTTTATGTGCCTTGCTTAAGCGCACAGTGATGATGATAGTCTCAGCCTCAGTCTGACCGTTCACTGACTGGTGAATATTGCACATAAAACCGGAATGCACTTTTTCAGTCAAGTAAACTCTAATCTGTTTGGCTGACTTTGGGCAATTTCCATGAGTACAACCACACAGGTTGTCTTATCAGTTCCAATGGAAACAAAGATGTTTACAAGGTACCAATCTGGCTGATACACTACAATTTGCCTGGTGTCAAATATGTGAAAGTTATTCACCGTTCGTTTTTTCCACAGATGATAATAATAATGGTTCCAAAAGGGGGCTTTTCACAGTGATGCCACAGAAAGGTTCTTTTGGGAGCGCTCTTAAAAGAACAATCCTTTCTAAATTGTGAAGAACTTTTTAATAATCTAAAGAACCCTTTTCCAGTACTTTATTAGTATATCTATGGTTCTATTGATATCTATTTTACGAGTGTATGTCTCCATAATGGCCTTATAATAGAGATTTCTCCATTACAGATTTCTACGGAGCCCCCCTAGTCCCACTTTGTCAAAAAAATTTATTATAACTATCTCGTGGCCTCAAGATAGTATCTCGTGGCCTCAAGATAGTAACTCGTGGCCTCAAGATAGTATCTCGTGGCCTCAAGATAGAGTTACTATCTTGAGGCCACGAGATAGTATCTTGAGGCCACGAGTTACTATCTTGAGGCCACGAGATAGTATCTTGAGGCCACGAGTTACTATCTTGAGGCCACGAGATAGTATCTTGAGGCCACAAGTTACTATCTTGAGGCCACGAGATAGTATCTTAAGGCCACGAGTTACTATCTTGAGGCCACGAGATAGTATCTTGAGGCCACGAGATAGTATCTTGAGGCCACGAGTTAGTATCTTGAGGCCACGAGTTACTATCTTGAGGCCACGAGATAGTATCTTGAGGCCACGAGTTACTATCTTGAGGCCACGAGTTACTATCTTGAGGCCACGAGTTACTTATCTTGAGGCCACGAGTTACTTATCTTGAGGCCACGAGATAGTTATAATAATTTTTTTTGACAAAGTGGGACTAGGGGGGCTCCGTAGATTTCACAGTTCTCTCTCACCATTTAATTTATCATTAATACATTTGACCAAACAATAAAGCTTAGATATAAAGCTCTATAATTTAAAGAATTATAAATGATAAAAAAAATTACAATGTTACAATAAGGTTTCATTTGTTAATGTTGGTTATTAGTTATTACTTCTACAGCATTTAGGCCCTAATGGGCTATATGCACGCATAACTTCCGCGTTTGATGCAAGGATGCTCTTGCGTTTCCGGTTGGGGAGATTTAAAGCGGAGGAAAACCGAGGAAAACGGGATTATGGCAGAGTCTTCAAAATGTACTGTCCTCTCGTCTTTGAAACGAAACTTTAATACGTTTAGATGTAATTGTATATATAGTTATGTTTATTTAATATAATAAACAAAGAAGCATAAACAAAACGAGGGGTGTCTGTTTTGTCTGTTTTTGTGACTAACGTTTCTTTAGTTTAGCAATAGAGTATAAAAACCAATATAAATTCTCGGTATAGCATTGGACTCTACGATCGGCGGAAGTAATCCAGCATCCTTAGACCTTCACCGGAAATACCGCCGTGCATAGAGCCCATTGCAGCATTTATATACTAATACATTTTCAAAATCTGAAATTGTATTTGTTAACATTTGTTGTTCTGTAAACTAGCATGAACAAACATTTTTTTTTACAGACATTAAGATTAATAAATGCTTTAAAATATATATTGCCCATTGTTAGTTCATGTTAGCTAATGCATTAACTAATGAGAACAAATTAGACTTCATTGTAAAGTGTTAACAAATTATGAAATGTTTCTTGATGGAGACAACTAGTGACAAAGAATAAATAAATAACAGCAAACCCATTCGTTATTTCTTTTGCGCTCTTCTTCAACACACTACGGTAAAGGGTGGACTTTTGTTGTCTGCGAGCTGGAGACAGACAGCTGAGAGTGAAACAGCCGTGTGTGTGTGTTTAGAGCTTGAGATTCAGACGCGCTGCACAGCGTCTCGTCCCGAAACACTAGACGACAACCAAGAAGAGTCACTTGGAATACTGTCCGCAGGTCTAATGTCCGAACACATTTCTTTTCTAAGAAAACTTGCGTGTGTGTTTTTTTCTTCTTCTGTTAGGGCACAAGCAAAAACATCGCATTTTCACATTTTAAAAGCAGCTGTCTTCTCGGAAGGGGCCGCACCTTCAGCTGAACATCATCCAGGTAGGTTTATGAAAGTTCATGTGCTGTATCGAAGCCAATATCTTTGCTTCAGACACACTAAAAAAATACTAGAGAAAGAAAGAGGTAATTAAGATATGTGTTGTTTGAATTTGCATTTTCTGCAAATTGCTTATTGAATTATGTCCATCACTACATGTTTACTCCTTTGATCAACTTTTTGTGCGACAGCATCCCATTTTTTTAATGCTGTGTTTGTCTGATGTTAGTGTGTTTGAAATGAAGAATATAGTTTAGTTGAGAAGTGCATCTTCAGACCCAGGATAGCTAATTAACCTGTACATGTCCATTCAACTGCTCATATGATCTTGCTTTTTATGTGATTATGCCCAGGTCTTTAAATGACAATTATGTGTTTGTGTCATGCACTGCATTTGTTATTATTGATATTTTTAATATATTACTAGTTTTTTTTTTGTTGTTTTTTTTTGCATGGCTCTAGAACACTTAATTCTGATTGGTCAATTGAGCAGTCAAATATGTAATCTATATTTTATATGCCCTACCACGAAGGAAGCGGTGAAGAGTCCCACTGTTTATAGTTAAGCTGTACAAAAAAAGTCTACCGTCGTATTTATAATAATAACTGGTAATTATCTGCTGTACTAATTTTTATGTGTTGTATTCCACTCTGTGTGCTGTCATTTGTCCAAGACAAATTTAAGTAGGCTATAACTTACTAATACCAACTAACCGGATATTTCACCCTTACCTACGACAAAAACACTAGCATTACTTTCATGTCACAAAGTCACTCCGCAGTCTCTTTTCATTATAACAAAAGTTAGAATAGTTAACTTATTCCAAAAACAGTTTCTACGACTATGTGCTATAATATAAATGGCCTCAGAGGACATTATTAATATTTATTTCTATATGCTGCGCATAAAACTTTTGAGAGATAAATTAGCTTAGACGTCCAGATGAAAAAGAAAACAAGGCATCATCTTTGCTGGGATAACAACAAACCGAGTAGAGAAGAGCTAGAAGAGAGAAAACATTAAATATTCTGGCTAACTAATCCATATGAGAAGTAACTTCAATTAAAGATTAATAATGTATAAATTGCAATATTGTTGCAGTGCTGGTGTTCATGACTGATTGTTTTCTACGTAGCAATGGGCCGTTTTTCTTGACAAGCCATTACCAGGCATGCATTCATTATTTTCTAGGGTCATCATCAGGTAGCCCTACTCGACTCAGTCGATCATGGCTACATCAGCATCCAAATTCACTCACTTCATTTTGTTCAGTCCTTGCTGATATAGTGCACTTAACCACCACATACTATGTAGGGATTAGTGGACGGATGATTTCGGACACAGCTTATATCTCTAAATCTAGTGATTTATATTTTGGGTTTTATAGGCGTGTGCGGGGTTAGCTCAGCTGACTCATCTGGTGCCTAAAAAGCTGTCTAGGTAGACAGAACAGTAGATTTTGAGATGCAACTAGAGGCAAAAAAGAGCTCTGTTCCTGGATATGTTCCCATTTACTGTCCTTATTGTCCATATTTTCACACGAATGTCTAAGTATGGAAAATAATTGCCTTGCACCTTGTCTTCTGGGCAATTAATTAAATTGAAACAGTGTCTTTTGAATGTGCTTTATGCTGATAAAGGACAGCGTTTAATCTGAGCCTTATCTCTTTGAGCATAACCAGCTTCACTAAAGCTCATAATAAATTAGTCTGCAAATCCTCCTTGGCTGTAGAGAACATAGAAAGTAAAAAAAAAAAATCATCTTATCCATCAACGTCATAGCTTATTACCATGACGGTGTCATCATAGGTAAACTGCTTTCGAGCACAATAAAGATTACGGTGGATAAACACTTATTAACCTGTAACCCCTTTTAACTAAACACGGCTATGTTGATTTAATGCTTGGTAGTGATTGAATGAAGCCCATTTGTTAAATGTCAGTCTTGTCACTTGAGTCAACTGAAGAGGTTACACTTCTTTTGGATTTTTGTTTGCAGTATTTTTGGTGTAACATTTTTGCAACAGAAGCTTTAATTGGCTATAACCGTATTTAGAAAAGACATTAGTAAGTAGGCAAACCATGTTTGCATGAGACAGCAAGTATTGGAATTAGCACTTCATCTCTGTGAATGAGGTCTGGCAAAACCTCATAACAAATGTCAAGCGCAAAACAGTTTGTCTTCCATCCTTTTCTCTCTGCCTTCTTAATTTTAGTCTCGTTCACAACTAAAAAGCTGTAACGTTGAATTTGACCACTGAGGGGGTGGATGTTTCCCTAAGTGAGTCTAGACTCTTGTCCTGCTGACCTTGGGTTTCTCCAGTATAATCCAACTCATGTAATTAAACACAATATGATTAGTGGGCAGAACGGACACTGTTGCTGTGGAGGTGCGTAGTACACAATGTATATGTGGCAGAATTTAATACTTTTGTGTGGGTTTGCTTCTTTGGTATTGGGAGTGTGCTTGCATATGTGTGTATGAATAATTTGGACACAAATGGATGGATTTCAATGAATTCGTTCACTATGAACGAAGGCATCAATACACATGCCATGACTGGAGAGATCGGTGCCATCCAAGAGAGCATGCTATATGACCTGACCAGTAGCTGCTAAAAAAAACAGAACAGAACAAGATTCCAGTCAAGAGAGATGAATAGCCTTATAAGTACTGGCAGTCCATTTCCAGTGGTTTTGTAATGGGGTCTATTACAATGCTCTTTGCATACTATTAAACCTTTATGTGGGCTATTTGTAGAGTGGATAGTCACCTTAGTCATAGATGTTATCCAAACAGCTGTCCTGGTGTGTGTGTACGCGCACTTCTGCATTTTGTCTGAAGGTTGCAGCTGACAGCGGAGCAGTGTGGGAGTCGGCTGGCTCACAGTCAGAGAGAGAGAGAGAGAGAGAGAGAGAGAGAGAGAGAGAGAGAGAGAGAGAGAGAGAGAGAGAGAGAGAGAGAGAGAGAGAGAGAGAGAGAGAGAGAGAGAGAGAGAGAGAGAGAGAGAGAGAGAGAGAGAGAGAGAGAGAGAGAGAGAGAGAGAGAGAGAGAGAGAGAGAGAGAGAGAGAGAGAGAGAGAGAGAGAGAGAGAGAGAGAGAGAGAGAGAGAGAGAGAGAGAGAGAGAGATGAACACTCTGTAATTAGCACCCGCGGCTGCATGCTGCATTCCACCTCTGCAAATTACAGAGTGGCCTGCCTGCACTGCCAGACCCAGCAAACCTGCCTGTGTGAGTCTATCCAGACCCCCCTCTTGCCCTCCCTCGGCCTCACGCACATGCAAAACTACAGCTATACCTGCTAGCAGCAGACTTTGCCTTCTCTTCCAGTTCACTTCCACTGTGTTTTTTTCTGCGCTGCAGTAATTGGCGGTGGTGGAGACTCCCGTCTCTCCGGGGCTCGGCCTGCATTGATTTGTTTGGATTTCTGTTCCCCTCCCCAGAGCTTTGGCGTACATATGCGCCACAGACTCCCTACACTGCTGTCTGTCATGTCTGAGCGGCATGTTTAAAGAGTTTGGTGTTGTTTATCGAAGTGCACGTACACTGAAATGCACGGCATTTCCATAACACAAGGGATTTCAACAGTATGCTTTTTTAAATTAAGAATTGAAGCATTTGGGTTTTGAAAATATGCTTTGTTTTGAGGGTTTAACAGGGTTAAAGATGTCAAAATATGCTTTGAGACTGCAAAGGGGTCTTTGTTCAGAGCTTATGAGTGGGTTTCGACAGGGCTGTAACCACCATAGAAATTGAGGAGGACCTACCACAAGCCGAGCAGAAATACCAGCATGACCAGAAAGTGTGCGTGGTAAGATGTAAGCAACTAAACATTTCATGTTTGACAACTATTTTACAATAAAAATGGGAAACGACCAACGGTAGTATTCAGTGATGCAAACTACAAATGTTTTGCCAAATTTCGGTATTCCATGTAATTCATAATTGAATTTATTCAACATAAATTCATTTTTCTACATATTAGGCATTCATTTAAGAGCGAATGTGTTCAGTGGTGTTTGTGAGAACATAACTGAGGCTAAGAGCTGTGTGTGTTTGTGAGGGTGGGTGTGTGCGTAACGATCATGTGTAGTCTGTGCTGATGGATGGGACCGAGTAAATGGCTGTGACCCTGACAGAGGACCCAGCTGAGGGACCAAATGAGCTTTGTGACAGTGTGTGTGTGTGTGTGTGAGAGAGAGAGAGAGAGAGAGAGAGTGTAGGTTTGTGATTTTGTGCCTAAGTACAGCACACCATATAGGACAAGTGGCCTCACTTCCCCTCTTCTTCTGTCTTGTGCCATATGCTGATTTGATCTTGATAGATTGATAATACTTTTCACCAAATTTCACCATTCAACTAACACATAGACAGTGTATCTATACATCCAATGGTATGTCCATCTGTACAATATTAGTGGTTGTCTATACGTCCAGCTGAATATAGTGTTTCTATATTGTATGTCTGTCTGTATATCCAGGTTGAATATTGTGCTTCTATAGTGCATGTTTGGGCCTATACTGTATGTTCCAGCTGAATATAGTGCTTCAATAAAGCTTTCATTAAGTTATTTCTCAACGGTCTCATCAGCTGACTCTGCTGTAAGAGGATTTGCCGAACAGCAGTTTCCTGTTTATGTCAGTGCTTCCTGTGTTGAAAGTTATCTTGCCACTGGGTTAGTTAATGTAAAGGACCAGCTAATTATAAACAGTGATGCTTGAAAATGTCATCAAAGTCTACCAAATTATAATGCACTTGCCAGGGAACAGATATCACTTCTGATGGCATTTCCATATAAAACTTTGCCTTCATTCATGGCCGTTTCAAACTCATCGCCGTGATACTATTGTGTGTTCTGAGTGGTAACTAGTACTGGCACTTCAATATTTTAATCTGAAGTGTACGTACCCTCACTTTTTTATGCATACCGGCACTTCTCACATTGCCGGTACTCTGAAAAAAAGTATAAAAAGTTTTGTGCAATCGTGATATTTGCCTTA